GTGAGCAAACAGGGTTCTGAAAAGGATTCAGCATGATTAACCATATCCACATGGTGACCAAACTCATTGAGGTTTCTTGGGAGTTCAAGATGCCGCTCTGTCTAGCATTCATGATTTAAAGAAGGCCTTTGATTCTGTTGAGACGGAAGTGGTCACCAAAGCCCTAGCCAAACAGGGCATTCAAACTCAGTACAGCAGGGTCCTTCACGAGCTGTATTAAAGATTCACCACCAGGATCTCACCATTCCACAAGGAAGTGATCATCAACGTAAAGAGAGGGGTTCGGCAGGGTGATACCATTTCACCAAAACTCTTCAGTGCCACCCTCGAGAACGTCATGTGACAACTGGAATAGGAGGAAATGGGAGTGAAGATAGATAGCTGGCAACTCCGCTTCACTGGTGTAGGGCAAGTACGTTTAAATTTTTTTAATTTTTGAATCCCCATGAGTTACACAGTTACAAAGTTGTTCATGATTGGGTTTCAGTAATAAAATGTTTCGACACCCATTCTTTCATCAGTATACGTTTCCCACTACCAGTGGTCCCAGTTTTCCTCACACCCCATATCCCTGCTAGCCTCTATGACAGGCACTTTTTCTCTCCCTTCTCCCTTCCTCCCCTCCACGCCCCACCCTTTCTCTCCCCTCCCTTTTGTCTTTCCCCTTAACCCCTGCTCTAGCTCTGGGCCTGGAACACAGTTTATAGTTAGGGAGTTTAATGTCTTCATTTTTTTCTTTGACTTTGATTATTCAGGGTTTTACTACTGTTATTTTGACAAAAGTTATGTTGAATCTGTAGATTGCTTTAAGAAAGATGACCTTTTAAATTTTTTATTTTGGAACCCTCTTCACCCTTACAGCACTTTCCTGCTCAGTTCTGTGGCCAAAACCCAGAGGTTTGTTTTCATCTCATTTAGTTTGTTCCCTTGCTTTTATTTCCCCCCAAATATCCCATAACAAATCTCTCCACATGTTTTGATGTATTTTCATTGAGTTGTATGATTTAAATGTTTTCAAGTTTTCATTCTTTTATACTTTTGCACAGGCTGGAGCGATAGCACAGCGGGTAGGGCGTTCGCCTTACAAGCGGCCAACATGGCCGACCCGAGTTCGATTCCTCCGCCCCTCTCGGAGAGCCCAGCAAGCTATCGAGAGTATTAGATATGCCAGACACAGTAACAACAAAGTCTCCAATGGAGACGTTACTGGGCCCGCTCAAGCAAATCGACGATCAACGGGAGGGCCTTTACTTACTTACTTTACTTAATACCTTTGCACTGCCTTCAAGCAATCATACTCTCTGTACTCAAGAACTTTCTTTGCTTCTCACTCTTCCCATGCCTTTGCAGAGGCAAACTGTTTCTTTCCATCCTAAAATGTTGAGGCAGTAACCGGACTTAAAACCTGGTAGAGCAGGAGTGTTTCTTTCTATCCTTCCTTTGCTCCTTTGCTTTCTATCCTTACTTGCTCAGAGTAATAAGCCTGCCTCCTAAGTACATGTTTTAGCCAAGTAATTCACTCCTCATGGCAGATCAAGATGCAAGATATTCTAAATTTAATTCCAAGTTTCTGCAGTCTAAAAGATAACCTCAGTGAAAACATTCAGCATTTATCTCAGTGTCTCCCAAAGCTGCATTTCTATTGCCATGTACAAATACATTGCGGAAACATGGAGTTTCTCTCTCAATGAATTGATGTGAACCTACGGATGTATAAGAAATCATGTACTCTGGTGGTTCATAAACGGACTCCACATAAAACTAAAGGATTGGTTTCCAACTAACAATGTCTTCTGAGAATTCAAATGATCCGAGTGATACCCAACAACCTGCAACCTTGTCTCCAAACATCATAGGAAGAGTTCATGTATTAGAGGGCAAGCCTTCTGTGGTGCCTACATTGAATCCAGGTTCGCCGCTTGCTAGCAGCTGTATTCTCTTCTCTCGATTAGATCTAGGTGCTTAAAAATAGGTTTTTAGTATTATGTAAAATTTAGGGAGAAATTTGTACTGTATGTGCCCTCAATCCCCAAATTTCAGTGGCATGCCTGTCTGTAGTCTTGCTTGTTAACTGTTCACAGCAAACTGCTCGTAGATTGGTCTGTTTTTCTGAATTTCTTCAAACTGATAGTTTATCTTCTACAATCAGTCTATCCTCAATGAACTTTTAGAGACAGCAGTCTTGAAAAACAGCAATATTTAATGTTTTTTATGACCTCAAAGAATGGATGTCTTGTTCTGCTCCTGGGATCAGCTCTGATCACATGATCCCAAATGAGCTAAGTATCATACAATCAAGCAGAGCTAATGTATCCTTTCAAAACGTTTGTGGGTTGTTTTGGGGCCACACTCAGCAATGCTTAGGGATCGCTCCTGGCTCTGTACTCAGGGATCAGTCCTGGGATGTTGGGGATTGAACCCAGGTCAGCGACATGAAAGGCAAGAACCCTACCAGCTGTACTATCACTCTGGCGCCCACTGACAATTTTTTTTTTTGATGTGAGAGAATAATGCCAAAGGAAACAAAGACTTGGGTGTAAAACATGACTCGATTTGGTATGTTATTCATTGAAAACAAAAGTAAACCTCTCTCTGGTTAAGCTTACCATGTCCTATGACTAAAAGGCTTAATGTTCCAGTTCAACATTATACCAAATTACCAGTGTTGAGAAGTGTTGCTCATGAAAATGATTCTATAAAGGATAATAACATTTCTCTGGCAGATTAATTTTGCAGAATGCAATTTTATTTCATAGATAGTATGGATTTATCTAATAGACAGTATGGACTTCATACATATCCATTTCAGTGTTTTAAAAACAGCTTTAAAAGTTAGCAGCTTCTGCAAGTACAAAAATACATTTAAAATTTATCCAGATATTTTACAAACTCAAAGCATTTTTGGATAAAGCGACAATATAACCAAATGGCATATCTATATTCATACAATTGACAATATTCACATTAAGTGTTCTAGGGGCAGCTGAAGATATTAGGGTAGAAGTTATGTTAAAAACAATTATGTTTAATGCATTCAATGGAATTTTTATGCTTGCCAATAGAAGAAAATCAGGGCTAGAACTCTCTTGACCTGTTGATAGGTGATCCCTTGACTGTATTACACATGCTTTTCAATATCTCTATTCCCATGGTTTAGTTTTGACAGAAGTTACTCTACATGTCCTGGAACACTTTTTCCCTTGATATAGAATATTATGAATATTGTATTTGGCTACTGTAGCTTGATGACTGCTTCACATTGTTGTCCAAGGTGGTATATGCCATGAAATTCTGAAACCATGAGTTAGAAAAAAAACAGGGCTATACCCCACAGAGGTAGGTAGCACCTATAGATAATACTAAAGGTAATTCTTTTATCTTACAGAAAACATTTTTTTCCCTAGTCATTGAAAAATACAACTTTAAGGGCAATAGGGAAAGAATATTTCCAAGTTTTATGATGGCTACGCCATAACTTATTGAGAGTGAAAATGAGAAAAGTCCATTGATGATGACAGGTGATATGGTCAACATTTTCTGGTGACCGAGAAAAATAGTTTGAAGTGATTCCTTAGAAAGGTTGATCCTGTTGGTGACAGAGAACAACTGGGTTACAATATTGATGTTATTTGACATGAGGAAATGTCCAGTAGAAAAGAAAAGTAACTTATTGGGAGTCATTATGAGAAAAATCCATTTGATGTCTGCACATAGTTCTGAGCATCCTGGCATGGTAACTATTTCCTGGTGGCCAAGAAAAATGATTTAAAGCAGTTCCTTAGAAATAAAATGCTGACAAGGAGGTTGGTTACAGAGAACAACTGGTTAAAATGTAGATGCAATTTGACATGAAATATTCAGTGGCAAAGAAAAATAACTTATTCAAAGTAGGTATATAAAGGTCCATTTGATGGGTGACTAGAGATGAATCTGAGCAACCTGACACAGTAAACATATTCTGGGGCACAAGAAAAATAATTTAGAGTCGATGAGTTCCATAAAAACCAATGTGGATCTAGACGTTGGTTACAAAAAGCAACTAAGTTAAATTTCAGATGTTACGTGACGCTTAGAAATATTCTACTGACAAAGAAAAATAACTTAATCAAAGTAGATGTTTAAAGGTCCATATAAATTTGATGGATGATTATAGAGATAAATTCTGAGCAAATAAATTTGATGGATGATTATAGAGATAAATTCTGATCAACTTGGTAAAACTTGATGGCTGAGGAAAATAATTTAAAGTTGCCAATTTTATCATCTCATACCAACAAAATACATCTAGTAAGAAGTATATAGACTGTAGAAATGCTTATGACTCTAAAAGAAGCCAAATGGGATAAAAAAAAAAAGCCAGTCTTCAAATGGAACTAATTTGGGAGAAATCCATAAAAGAAGAAAGCAAGCACAATGGCCAGTAACAATTACAGGGGAAGACCTGATGGGCATGTTGCTGGGGTGGTAGCACACGTGGTAGCACAGTAAGTGCCTCTCACCTTCCAAAGGATGGTCAGTGATGAACTGATTTAGCTGGTTTTTTTTAAGTGTGTGTTTTTATGGGGCACAAACCCATGGCAGTGGAGAGATGAGACTTGACACCTCTTGGTATGTTTTGTGGGAGGTGTATCCTTTTCTTCCCAAAGTGGCCATCAGTTTCTCCCTCTGACAGTCATTAAAATGACATTTCCATTATATTGGGAGTTTACTGTTAGTCTATAGTTTTTAGGCCTTGCAGTGAGTGTTAAGTGATAAAAATTGGACTGGACACATCCGCTCTTTGATTCTAGTTGCTCAAGACAAGTTGCTTTCTTCACTAGCACTTGGCTAGAATTGAAAAAATCCTACAGGATCAATCCAATCATCTAAGGGAAATTCTCCCAAATGTGTAGCTATGAAACACTTTGACTTAAATTCTTGGTGAAAAAAAGTGTCACTGTTACTCAAGTTGCTGATCTCATTGTCACCATCAGTATTTTATGTCAATGAAATGACTTTGGTTAAGTTTTGTCCCCATCCTGGCTTGGAATTTTGTCCTCAGTTGGAATCTGTGTCATAGAGTAGAGGGGGGATGTTTCTTGGGGCATATTACCAGCACAGCCAGGCTTACTGTCCCCTTCCTCCTGGGGGACCTTTCCACAGGACTCAGGGACATTGGCTTGTAGGTCACAGTGGGCCTCCTGGGCTGCCTGTGATGTTGTGGATTTGGGACAGCCAGAGGCCTCTCTTAAAGTAGAGTTTTCCTCTGGTATGATGGTCCTGGCCTTCTTATTGAGAGACCAATTCTTCAAACTGACTAGACTGCTCCTTATCCATGTGCCAGGTTGAAGGGAGTGAAGCTGTGACTGCCACCCCGACGTGTCTTTTTTCTTAGAAGTCAGAGGGCTTCTTGCCTGCCCAGATGAGAGATTAGCTATTTCTGAATTCTGGCTGGCATCATAAGAATCCAAATGAAGGTCCCCTGATTCGCATTCCACTTGAACCACAGGCCCTCCAGGACAGGAGGTTTTGTTGGTGGTAGAAAATGTAGGTTTTAGGGAGAACACAGTCTCATGTGAAAGAACAGTGCCTGTTGTATCCAGGGAAGATATACTTGATGAACATGCCTCCTTTTGATTTTCTTTGTCCTTACCTACTTTGATACCCATTGCTATGCTCTGTTGAATTAATGTCTGCCCCTCGAGTTTCAGAGCATTCTGCCATTTCAGGCGCTCTTCCAGAGTAAGGTGCACTGTGTTTGGTGGCTGTGGTTCTACTGAGTCACTCAATTCACAGGGCTGGCTTCCAGTGCTGGGCTCAGAGGAACGCCGGTTCCTCTGGGCTTCTTTTGTGGGTGCTGGGGAGCTGCTTCGATGATCTGGGACCATGGATTCATCCCTGGCACTGCCTAGTGTCGAAATGGAATCGCACGACATAACGGCATTCGATTTTGAAAATAGTCTGAAATGGTGAGTGGGTGAGTTGGTCTTTTTACTCTTTTTAGGCAGCCCCAGTCCTGTAACAGATCTCTCTAAACATTGCTTTTCTGCTTTGCGCGATGAATTTTGCTTCAAACAGTCAGTTTCTGTTGGAGAAAGGACTGAGTCACAGCTATTCTTGCGAAACTTCTTTTGATAAAATTCTTTCCAAGAGGCCCACTTTGTACTCAGGCTGTTTGTAGTGGGCTCAGAGCAGCGCCGCTGCCGCCTCCTGGGGTTTGGAGCACCTGGTGTGATGGGCTCTGAAGGCTGGGCCCCCTGAATGCACTCGGTGAGGGTGTGGGGTGTTTCAGGGGCTGGTTCAGAGCACAGGCTCAGTCTGCTGGACCCAGATCTGACCAGGGTTCCCCCTGAGGAATCCCTGGCATGATCGGCATGGTGGGAGTTTGCAAAGAGCACAGCATCAGCCAGTGTGGCATCCACTGATGATTCCTGGGGAACATTCTCCTTGAGAGAGGGTTCTGTGGAAAGTGTGGGCTCCGACGAGTGCCGCTGACGTCTGGCACACTTAGGACTTTTAGCTATGTTTCTGCCTGAGGGGAGCTTGGTTTGGCTCTCCAGGGGAGGGTTTGAGAGTAAGACAGAATCTTCGGCTCTATCACCAACAGGTGGGTCTTCTTCTAAATCTTCCTTAGAGTAAGTTAAACTCAGGTCACTCAGAGTTAAGAGACTGGTTGCTGTGGTGTCCATGTCACTAAGTGCTGCAAAAGAATCAAGGCTTCTGCTCTCCCTCCCCAGCTGCTGGATATCACTACATGGCATATCATATGGGTGAAAGTCTTCAAGTTCATTTTCCAGACTGTCATAGGAATCATTCAAAGGAACACAAGAGTCTGTGGGGAAAAATATCCAAGTTATTATTAGTATTTTTCTTACCACAAACAGTCCATGTGCCTTAAAAACTTGTGTCTTTTCTGGAATTTTCTTCTCATGTGCTTCCTACTCTTAAGGAGGCAGGATCTGTCACACTCTTCCCAAATGTTAGTGTAGGAAAAGAACTGCTCGGGCATATGCTATATTCACCCTTGTAATGAGGACATACCAAAATAACATTTTTGTTATTTTGATTTTTACTCAGTAAAAAATAAACAAATAAGGATTTGATACCAGGTAAACCAAGGTCCTGAACAGGGCTCAGCCTTCTAACAAGGATCGCTGGTGGGGACCTACAACTCTAGGCTCAGAAAACCATTTACTAACAACTACTGATTTCTCTTTAATATATATATATATATATATATATATATATATATATATATATTAGGTTTTTGGACCATGCTAAGCAGTGCTCAGGGATCATTTCTGACAGGCTTGGGGGCCCTAAGGAGTGCCAAGAATTGAACCCAGGTCGGCCACGTGCAAGGCAAGTGCCTTACCTGTTCTATTATTGCTCCAGTCTCATGACTAATCTTTACAAAACCCATTAGTTAGATTTATCTGTATTTTATTGGCGCAGATATGGCAGCTTGAAGACCAAATAATTACTAACTGATAGGACAGGACTTCATGTTCAAAACTCCTTCCCCATGATATCAATTGTTTTTGTGTATTTTGTGAATCTCACCACACCGTGTCCTTTTTTGTATAAGCCAAGCAGGTGCTGGCCTGCCCTATGAGAGACCAGACATTTCAAAATCAGGGTTAGCAGCGCAAGCCCAAAGAGTGATCCCTGGTTTCCTCCAAGCCTGGAAAGTCGACTCTACTGGAGAAGTACTTGAAGGACTAGAAAAGATGTTCAGGATTAAAGAAAAATTGCTGCTCTGCCCCTTCTAGCTGTGCTGGGGTAAGGAATGTATTGCCAGGAATCAAACTCAGGGCCTCAAACATGCAATGAACATTCAGTTATGGACCCCAGCCATGATACTAGTTTTTTCATTTTCAAGAACTCTATACTAGGAATCACTCAGCTAAAGACCAGCCCTATATACTTTGCCTCTGGGCCATTGGCTACAGCTTCAACCATAGCAACATAAACACATGTAAATGCTAGTAAAACTTTATTTGAAAAGAGGTTAAAATGACTATAGTATCTCATGTTGTTAATGAGTTTCTTGGATTTTGGGACCTCACCAAGTTAACCTGGGGACATCACAATGCCCTGACCTGTGTTCACAAGAAAGACCTGCTTTCTAAGAAACTCCCACTGTGCCAGTCAAGTGTCCATGCTCTCCCACCCCCCACCTCCCGAGAGATCTTGTTTTTACAATACCTGGAATATTCTCTCTGCTATCATATCGTTTAGAGACTTCTCCAAAGAGGGAAATTATCTCCTCCCCAAAAATTCTGTAACAATTTTCTATTACAAATTGAATAAGGTTCAAAATCTGTTTAAAAAGGACAAAAAAAAAGAAGCACCAGTTTTTATACAGTCTTTCTTTGAGTCACCTTTAATACACGAATCCTAAGAGAAATGCCTGATTTCAAAGTAGAAATGCCTTTTTTCCCCTCTAAGGGAAAAATATACAAAAACACAAGGCATTTTTGGAGCCTGGAGGTTGTAGGAGTTGGGCCACACCAAGTCGTAGCTGAAGAACCATAGGAAGTACTAGATATGGGGTTTGCCATATACAAGGCAAGTGTCTTAACTCTCCATCTGAGTATGCTATTTGGGGTATACTTTGAAGACTCACTATTTGTGACCTTAACTTAATGCTAACTTTTATGCCAATGGCTCTGTCTTTAAAATGAGAACTGTTTTTAATATCCTCTATCTAGAGTATTTGAAATGGCTAAGTAATAAATTATTAAAATTTATAAAGCACTCTTAGATAAGGATTGAAGTGTGTGTGGGTAGAGGCTGTACTCATGGGGCCTCTTCTGAAGGACAGAGTTTGTGCTCTGTTTCACAGCCTCTGCCAATGAAGTTCATTCCCTTAAATTTCCTGATATGGGAGGAGGTAATATTTCACCTGGGGCAGCAGACCCTATTGAGATGAATACTGGAATCTTTCCTTTCTTACCCCAGTATCTGAGACAGGGGAGCAGGCAGAATGGTGGAAGCAAGTACACTGCACATGGAAAAAAAAGTGTGGCTCCTAGTCACTAGAATATGAGTTTGATATTACCACTGATTTCAAATTTTAGATTTGGAAATGGTGGACAATGCAAATCATTTTCCCAAGAGCATATATTCTGTTAGTAGTGGGTTGAGAATTGAACTGTGACCTGTCTCACTTCAAAGTTCTTCTTCCCCTCATGACTGTCAGATGCTTTCTCGTCACTTGAAGACTTTAGGCTTGCCTTCTAAAAGTGAAATGAGAAGTGACCCAATTGCGAGCGCTTCTCTGTTGAACATGCTGATGCTGGTGTGTACCATCAGTGGCTCACACTTGAATGTGGCTTAACATAAACTATGGCACTGGCATCCATGTCACGTGAATAGATTAACAAATTAGGATAACATGTTCAATGAAGTCTGTAAGGTATGGTATGTTACTTAAGGAAGACACCAGAACTACCCCAAATGCTATGGGAAATAAAACTCAGCCCCCTGAAGCATCAAAAGGAAAAAGAAATGTCATTACTTTTTGGGAAAACTCGTTTTCCATTTCCCGTGAATCTGTTGGTGGCCACAAGATGCTAGGGGCTATGCAAATAGCTAAGTTGAGAGCGTTCATCTGATTTAAAGAGGAATTTTGCTCAATGCAGTGTAGCACTCCGAATAGGTATTTCAGGACAATGGTGTTCGCTCTTGGAAGCTGTTGTAAGAGTCTAAAGAAAGAAGAAGGCACTTTAGAGAATACATTTCATAGAAAACTTGTATAGACCAGGCAGCTTCTGCTGTCCATGGGGAACCACATAAAGCAAGAGCACAGTCAGATATGCAGAGTTTCAGTGAGTGTGATCGTGTGCAGAGTAAGCACTGCCTGCACAGAGGTCGAATAAATACAGGGCATCGAATCTAGAGAGATGTAAAAGTGGTAAAGAATGGCTTGTAAAACAATGCTGCCTATTTCCCTGAAATTCAAAGACATTTCCAAATACTCTCAAACTAAACAGCCCACACGCTTTCTGAGGAAATTAAACAATGTGCTAATTTTTATTTTTTTGGCAGGAGTGGGGATGCACATCTGATTGAGTTCAGGGTTTCCTTCTAGCTCTGCACTCAGGGATCACTCTGATAGGCTTGGGGGACCACATAGGGTGGCAGGGATCGAACCTGGATTGGCCACATGCAATTCTTCTACTGGCTGTACTAATACTACAGCTCCCGAAGTGCTCCTTGAAATATTAAGTTGCTCCAGCAACACAAAAATGCTAATGCTTCTCTTGGTGAGAAGCTTGGTCTCAGCTTTATGCTTGGGACACGTCCTTGCTCCATTCTGAGCTTAGCATTCTCCTCCACACTCACACTATGTTTCCCACTGTCTGGACTGCAACTTATAAGGGATTTCAAACAATTAGTCACTGAAAATGATTTTTACTATTACCCAGAGAAGTAGAAACATTATTGATAGTCATGAAAGTTTTGTTATTATTTTAAAGCAGAATCTGCAGCCAGTGGACAAAATCAGGTGGGTGGTGCTGTGTCAATGGAAGCAGAGGCACTTGTTCAGTGCAATGGGGTAATGGGTGGAGCCTGTAGGGAAAGGTTATAAAGAACACTGACAAGGAATCTAAAGATGGCTGAGGAAGTTCAGTAGAATGAAGGTATTGTCTAGGGTACTCTCCTTTTGGGTTCTCTGACTTTCAGGTCATCAGTCTTTGAACTATTTTAGGTTGTAGGATATAATCTCTAAGACAAACAACAAATCTGATGTTCATTCTTTTTGAACATCCCACAGAATCATAAAGTAATAAACTATTTGTTCCATGGCCTTGATTTCTGACACCATTAAGAGTTAGACCTCTTTTGTTAATAGAAGAATATAGTTTATCAATGGCAGTCTAGATAATTCACAAGTTAAAAGTTACTCCAGAAGGGCTTCAGGGCTCTTTTCTTCATACAAGTGGATAGACATGAAGAGTATTACTGTAGCACTGTCCTCCCATTGTTCATCGATTTTCTAGAGCGGGCCCAGTAACGTCTCCATTGTGAGACTTGTTGTTACTGTGTTTGGCATATAGAATACGTCACGGGTAGCTTGCCAGGCTTTGCGATACGGGCGATACACTCTCGGTAGCTAGCCAGGCTCTCCGAAAGGGGCGAAGGAATTGAACCCGGGTCAGCCAGGCTGGCCACGTGCAAGTCAAATGCCCTACTGCTGTGCTATTGCTCCAGTTTAGCTAAATGAGTCAGAAGGGGAGGGACAGACATAGAATGACTGCACTCATTTATGGAATATAAAGTAGCAAACTAGGAGACTAACACCTAAGGATAGTAGAGATAAGGGCCTGGAGGATCACTCCATGGCTTGGAAGCTGATCTTAAAGGCAGTTGGGATAGAGAAGGGACCACTAATGATGGTTGGAAGGCTTGCTCAGGATGGTAGATGCATGCTGAAAGTAAACTATGGACCAACCATGATGGCCGCTTAGTTCTTGTATTGCAAACCATAATACCCAGAAGGAGAGAGAAAGAGGGAATGTGCCTGCCACAGAGGTGGGAGGGAAGGAGTGGGGGTGGCAGAGGGATACTGGAAACATTGGCGATGTAGAATGGGCACAGGTGGAGGGATGGATGCTCGAACATTGTATAACCGAAAAGTAATCATGCAATTTTGTAAGTCTATAACTGTATCTCATGGTGATACATTCAAATAAAAAAAATTCAAAGTTACTCCAGAAAAGATCACTAAACTAGCGTTTACAAAAATAAGTGATTCTTGGGTTTTCACAGGTGAAGTGTTGCTTTTTTTTAAATGTAGACATATCTTTCTTATTCTATAATAAAGAAAATATTCAGGGACAGGGGTGGAGAGTTCTCCTAGGAACTTCCCTTTGCAGCAGAACCATGTGTTCTCTGTGATTAAGATGGAGAGACTTTGCAACTCCCCTCTCCCTTGACACTTAATAGTGAGCAGCCTTCTGCAGTGCCCCTCCAGGAAGCTCCCACACCCAGTTATGTCTTTTCTAGCATTGATGAGACAGTACTGTAATTACTAGTTTATCTTCTTTATCAGAATCTTGAGTTCCTTGAGAGAAGGAATCCAGATGTTGAGTTAGACATTTAAGGAGGTGTTTGGTTAAATACTTAATGAAATTAAGACTGCCGATGAGATTTGGTCTAGAGCATTAGCTATGGATGCTACTGGTTTCTTCTTACCAGATTCTTATTAAGCTAAAGAATTCCAAGTTGTAGGATTAGGGATATAATACCAATGACAGCAGATAATCTATTCTCTTGTTTTGGTCTGTTTTTGGGTCACATCCAGTGGTGCTTGAGGGGGCCATATGGGTTGCCAGGGATGGAACCTGGGTCAGCTACATGCAAGGCAAGCACCCTCCTGCTGCACTATCTTTCTGGCGCCTACTATTTCAAACTTTGATTTTAATAGTCATCATTACTTTAATATGCAAGTTATACATTTAAAAAAATTTGAGACATGACTAAACTAGCACACTTACAGTTGGATAGTATGGATGCGCTCCTCATGGTTCACTTCATCCATTATGGAAAGCCAATGATCAAACAGGTTTGATGAAAATATACTACCTGGAATACTCCGCAGAAAATCCTTATATAGAAGAAAATAAAATATTTTTATTTATTTATTTATTAAAAATTTTTTTAAATAGTGAGACATCATGAGGTACAGTTGCAGACTTACACATTTTTGTGCTTGGGTTTCAATTATATAATGATCAAATACCATCCCTCCACCAGTGCCCTCTTCCCACCACCATGCATCCCAGCATCCCTCCCACCCCCCATCCCCCCCATCCCACCCTGGCTCTGTGGCAGGGCATTCCCCTCTGTTCTCTCTCTCCTTTTGGGAGTTGTGGTTTGCAAAAGAAACACAAACATGTTTGGTCTATAGTCTACTTTCAGCATGCTTCTCCCATTCTGGGAGGGTCCTCCCAACACCTTTATTTGGTGTTCCCCTCTTTATCTGAGCTCCCTTTTCCCTAGTATGTGTGGTTGGCCTCCAAGTCATAGAGTAGAATTCCTGGTACTAATCTCGGCCATTCTTGGGTGTTAGTTTCCTATTTTGTTGCTTTATGTTCCCCAGATGAATGCAATCTTTCTATGTCTATCCCTTTTTTTCTGAGTCAGAAAATAAAATATTTTAAGTCATTTATCCAGCTCCTATGTATGGGACAAAGAAGAAAACCTTTTGATGAAAAGATTCATTAAATTTCTTTCTCCCTTCTCCAGGAAACAGAGTTCTAGGTCAACTCTCCACTAACATTCATTTTTACAAACACATGCTTTAGTTTAGATTTGATTCTCTTCTGACCCAAAAGTAGAAGAGTAACTGAAGATTGAACTCTGTTGAAACTTCCACCTCCTTTTGTGTACAAGTAGCAATGTATACAACCTGGTAGTTCGGCAATAAGCATACACCCTTCCTTTCCCTGTGCCCTCCCCCCAACCCACACCACACACACACACACACACACACACACACACACACACTCTTTAGACCACTAGCTCAGAGAAAAAGATGTATAAACATGGTCTTTCTGAGGTTAGGGATGTGGTAACCAGCCATCTAGACATTGTAGGCACATTTACTCAGATGGGACAGGCACTGGCTGAGGTGCGAAGGCTAGTCTAGTGAAGAATACAAACTCCCTGCTACTTTCTGTTCTTGGGGGAGACACTTAAGTTTCTCCCAGTGTTCGCCACATAAGTGCTCTCATAGATTTAGGGGTGGGAGATGGGGGTAATGGGCAAAACCTGGGGACTCTGGTGCTGGAAATGTACACTGGTGGAGGGATGGGTGTTGGAATACTGTATGACTGAAATTCAATCATGAATGGCTCTGTAATGCTCTAAAAAATTTAAAAATTTTTAAAAAATGAAATAAAATGGAAGCTAGAATGTATTTATGACTGTTTAAAAAAAACTCTCTTGTTGTCATGTTACCTAATAACGAAGTAGTTTAACAAGCAGGAACATGACTGACTCAGTCTTTTTTCTGTTTTATTCTAATTTCTGATAGAAATCTACCTTGGTATTATAATTCAAACATGTTATCAAATAAGAGTTATTTTTAGGGGCTGGAGCGATAGCACAGCGGGTAGGGCGTTTGCCTTGCGTGCAGCCAACATGGCCGACACAGGTTCGATTCCCAGCAGCCCTTATGGTCCCCCGAGCACCGCCAGGAGTGATTCCTGAGTGCATGAGCCAGGAGTAACCCCTGAGCATCACTGGGTGTGACCCAAAAAGCAAAAAAAAAAAAGTTATTTTTACGTGGCATCAGCTATTGCATTGTCCAAATTCCAAATGGATTTTGTTTCTAAATATACTTTAAAAGTCAGAGCTTGAATAGGAAAATTTGTTCAAAGAGGCAGAGTGACCATAGCTCTCATTCTAAATCTCAGTCAAAAAAAGTATTTACGATATTATCTTGAAGGGGAAAAAAAAACCTACTCCATCTTCAATCTAAATTTGAACAATACCTTGTAATTTCTCAATGAGTTTTCCACAGCTGGAAAAACCAATTATGAAACGAAACCCCTTTCTCAAGGCTCTGGACTGAAAGCTCCCTCACTTCTTATTCCTGGGTTCCTAATTAACTCAAGGTGACAGTACTGCTAAGATGATTCCAATGAGTTTTTCCTTAAACCTCTGAGAGATTGGAGTATGTCAAGCAGCTTTCTATGCACTACAGCTTGAGAGAGTTGTGCTGGTGTTATTAAATTAAAACAAAGCTTGAAAGCATGGTAACTGCTTGCAAACAGATAGCTAGGACCCACTTAAACAGACTTTCACTGTACTGAGAGTTTTTCATTTTATTTTTGCACAAGTCACTTGAAATTTAACTCTTCTAGAATTTTGTTTTGTGTAACTTTAGGATTTAGTACAAAATTACAAAAATTAAATTCTGAACATTGTGGACAACAGTAAAATTATATTTCAAGACATGTGGTTTAAATTCTTTAAAGATTAGAGAAAATTTGTCATCTCAAATCTGTTTCTCAAAAACAGAAAAAGTTTCCTTTATAATGTTAGAGCTCAGTAAACACACCATGTATACCTTGGTTTATATTTAGGATTGTCAAGTCATCATAAACTCTCGCCAAACCAGATGATAGGACCTAGTTCCATTCTCTAGTTCCTTTGAGAAGTGCTTCATTGCAAACATCTACTGCAGAGTTGTCAAGGAGCAGAGCCAGCTCACTTCCTATTCCTAAACTGCACTCTCTAGGGGTGGGCAGAGTGTGCCGTTTCACCATACTTCCTGAGTTGGACATGTTTATTCCAGGACCTTTCTCTCTCCTGGCTCTGGTGCATTCCAACCCTGCTGGGAGGTGGGAACCTAAAGGAGGTCTACAGAAGCTCCTGCTGAGTTCAAATCTAAAAGTTCAAAACTCTGCTAAAGATGGCTCTGACTCTTCATTTTAAATCTCTAGCTCAACTGTGGATAAAACTCTGATATCCTAAGTTTAATGGTGAGGAACACCAATAAGGCCGATGGTGGGAGGACTTTATGAAAGGCAGCCCAGATTCTGTCTTTCTTCCTACTCCACCTTCACTTAGAAGTGTTGTTAGTGGGGTGGAGAATATGCTATGCTTGCAAGAAGGCCAGTTTCAATCACTAGTACCACCTGATTGTCCTCCATGGGATGGCATAAGTGTGCCGCAGCAGAAACCATGAAGGTTCAAAAGAGTGGAATTTTCAGTGGCTTCCCAACCCCAACCTACCCCTCCCTCAAGCAATATCTCTTCCTCAGGAAAATGCTTATTGTGGCAAACTTTTGTCTTCAAGCTTAGTGAACTTCCTTTAGAAAATCTTGCCTGTATTAGGAAGGTAAGCAGAATGAGAGAAAGTTATAATCAGGATGTTTGCATTGATAATCATGCTATGCATACTTCTGTTATATGTTTTTGGGCTGTGTGCAAGGCAAATGCTTTACCTGCTGTGTTTTCTCTTGGACTTAATGCTGGCTTTTAAAAAACTCAATGCTAACCTGATAAAGTGGTTTTTTAAATTTTTTTTTTTATTTTGGGTGACATGTAGCCTTGCTCAGGGCTCACACTTGGCAGGAATTGGGAGACCATATATAGCACTTGAGACTGAATCCTGCTAGGCTGTGTGTAAATGCCCTAATAGTTGTGTTATCGCTCTGGCTCCTGAAGTTTTTCTAAGCACACTTTAGGTTTGAAATTTATTATAAGAATGTTATGTGAGGGAATCCCATAGTCTTTCTCCCGAGCTACACAGTACAGAGTGGATTAAGGGAGAAAGAACCTTTCCTACCTTAAAAACGGAGGCCACCACAAAAAGTGGCTCACAATCAATCTGTACATCAGCGCCGGCATTTAATTTTTCTTTTAATTCCCTACACGCCTTCACATTTGCAGATTGACGAAATATGCCTTTTGTCAAGGGCCCCCGTTCATAAAGGAGCCATAGCATGTTCTGTAGGGAGGAAAAGCAAAATGGTGCTTCATATCGGGGCATCACTAGGGAACTGCCAGGACGACGAAAGCCAATGTGTTTTCTGGTATTTAATCATTCTATTTATTCATGCTATTGTAGTCAACATCTCACCAAGACATTTTACTTCAGACACTTGTTTTAAAAGTCATCTTTTTTGTTCAGCAAACCAATAGTCATTTGAAAGCCAAATTTCTCTGCTAGCTTCTCTCCTTCTCAGTATTTTCCCGTTCCTTTCTAACACAGGTTTCCCAGTTCTCTTTCCTGACCCCAAATACAAAAATATTTCTGCCAAATTTCTCTACTTGCCTTTCTTTTTTCTGTTTCATATTTCATTCCACTTGTGTGCTGACTTCCTGCTACAAAAAGTTCAACACTTTCCTCTGGTGGAAGCTTTCTCTACTTCACTCCCTTGGAATACCTTTTGTACGTCCCTTTCTAGCTCTGTCCTCTGCTTGAAGGAAGATAAAAGCAACCACAGATTCTGGAACCTAGTTATGCTACACATCTGATGCTGGACCCCGGCACTGTAACATAAAGTAGGGAGAAAACTACTCCCTAAATCTGTGGTAAAAGAAAAAGTGTCCCGACTAGTGTCTCAAAGGATGAAGTGGCAAATACCATATTCATTTAGGGAGGAAACTCAAGAAATAGTGCCTATCTTCTGAGCCACTCCATTAATGAATAGTAACCAAATGTGCCAAGAATCAAAATACTGATAAAACCCATGGCAGAGTCTTCTCCAAACTAGACTCTGCTGCTAAAGTGAAACAGGCTTTCAGAATATTTTTTGAGTTCAAGGAAGAGAGTGAGGGAGATTTTGAGAATTCTCTGTTTAGAAGGCAAATTCTAATTGATCTGAGCAGGCTTATGTGATGGTTTCCTAAAACCAGTAGAGTAGATGATCTCAACCTTTCTAGAATTCTGCTAGATCTCAATTTGGTTTTGTATCCTTTAGTTACTGATATTCATAGGCATGTAGGTATCTATAGTCTTTCCATTTGGGAAGAGATTTCTCTCAAAGATTTCCCTCTCCTTTGCCAGACTTCCCCTTCTTGTTAATGTTATAGGACAAAACAGGACTCACCATGATTGGTGTTGGCAAATTGTCATTTTCGCATATGATTGGCAAAGAGATACCAAATAGTTTTCCTGTCACAGGAGATGTTGGTAAGGAAGAATCTAATCCATTATCCAACTGTGTGTTAGGGCTTCTCCAAAATGCCCAGTTCATAACAGATCTTCGTCGCAGAAAATTTCTGTGGCCTGAGATTGGGGAAGAAGATCAGTAGAAAAGCTCATTGAACTGATTTCATTTACACTTTCCATTCCATGTGATGTTCAAAGAGAAAAAAATTTTTTCTATAGAAGTCTTTTCTTGCTGACATTTTCATCACTGAAACTAAAGTTTGGGTCACTTTCCGTCACCGTCCTCCCGTTGTTCATTGATTTGCTCAAGCGGGCCCAGTAACGTCTCCATCATGAGACTTGTTGTTACTGTGTTTGGCATATCGAGTACATCACGGGTAGCTTGCCAGGCTCTGCCGTGCGGGCAAGATACTCTCGGTAGCTTGCCGGGCTCTCCAAGAGGGGCGGAGGAATCGAACTCGAGTCAGCCATTTTGGCTGCGTGCAAGGCAAACGCCCTGCTGCTGTGCTATCGCTCCAGCCCAAAGTTTGGGTATTTCCCTATTTTTGAGACATCAACAAAGTGTAGAGTTTTGGCACTGCATTTCTCAAAGTCAAGGAGAAGCTTCTTTAGGTAACAGAAACTGTCAAATCCATCAAAAAAGGAGACGCCAAGGTCAGTGTAAATATGCCAGAGAAGAACTATGTCCCACATGTCACGACCTAACAAATTCAGTCACTTCCAGTTGATCCCTGAGGCTTAAGCAGAGGGGGGGATGTGAACCTAGATTGGAAGTTCAATTTAGGTTAGAATCTCAAGAGCTACATCAGATCATTCCAGGTAGCTCTCAGCTCAATTTCAGATTTTTCTGGAAACTCAGGGTCTCTGATCAAAAAAAAAAAAAAAAAAAAACCCTTTAAAATAAGGTGATTACAACCCAGTTAAAATTTAACTTCTGGTGGATCACCCCATTCAAAATTTTAGAATTCTTGGAGCAATATCTCAAACTCTACATCACTAATAAATCAGGAGGAGCACATCACATTGGATGGGATGGAAAGTACAAGGCAACCAAACTCCATGAACAAGATATCAAGAGATAAGGCTTAACCTGTAACAACATGTTAGTAATCTCTTTTACAAGGACTAAAGGGCTCCATGGTGAGCTACAACAATCTTCACACACATTCTTCTAAGAAAACATCTTTTAATAATTTGTAGCAAATTATTTATAACAAGTAGCTGGAGCGATAGCACAGCGGTAGGGTGTTTGCCTTGCACGTAGTTGGCCTGGCTGAGCTGGGTTCGATTCCTCTGCCCCTCCTGGATAGCCCGGCAAGCTACTGAGAGTATCTCACCTGCGCGACAAAGCCTGGCAAGCTACCCGTGACGTATTCGATTTGCCAAACACAGTAACAACAAGTCTCATGATACAGACGTTACTGGGCCTGCTCGAGCAAACTGATGAACAATGGGAGGACTGTGACCAATATAAAATAAATGATTCAGGATCTGATCTAGGTGCAGGCTTGAGGGGTGCTTGGAAAAATTGGAAATAATGGTGGTGGGAAAGTATGAGGGATGCTTGGAAAGTATGAGGGGTGCATGGAAAAATTGGAAATAATGGTGATGGGATTGGTGTTGGAATATTGAATGTAACAAATCATCATAAACAGCTTTATTTAAAAACATTTAAAAAATAAATAAAATAAAATACAACTTTCCCTTCTTAAGTCACTGAAAATTTTTTGAGTAACCAGCATTTTGTTTTTCCAAATTAAACCTTTAGTCCACTGTCTAGTTCATTATAAATATTAAAACAACTACTTCCTATCTGTCTTGATGTCAGATACTAAATAAAACTTTGTCTTGGCTTTTAAAACTGCGACTGATGTGACTGAAAGTTTTCACAAAGTTTTGACTACTCCTCAAAGTGGGTAAAAGAGTATTGTTTGTAGTAACTTACGTATTCAACCACCTGTGAGACAAGATTTTTCAGAATAAATCTCAGTTCGAAAAAAAGCAAATGAAACATGGATGGTCTCAGAAGAGTTCTTAAGACATTTCATAATATGCATATCTGTCCGTCTATTTGTATGCATCATCTGGTCTGTGATGTTCAAGCTTCCTGGAAAGCACTGTTACCTCAAATTTTTTAGAGGCCGGAGAGATAGTACAGCAGGTAGGGCATTTGCCTTGCACACACATCGTCAACCCAGATTCAGTCCCTGAGGGCAGAGTCAGGAGTGTCCCAAAAAAGCTAGAAAAAAGGGATGAGGGTGTGTGTGGTAGATGTTTAAGACAGTTAGTTATTGCTGGGTCTCTCAGTGGGTTCAAATTGAAAAAACAACGAGAGAAATACAGCATCAACTTTTCACTATCCCAATGATTATTTTGTTTGTATTGCAAATACAGACACTTGGTTTGTATTCACAACAGAAAAAACAGATAGATTTCATTTTCAGACTAAAGACTTAAAAGCTCACACTTGAGATCACCTTAATTTAATATCACTGTGTCATTTAGAGGTATTTTTTTATTTATCGGAAAGGTAGGAGATGGCTATGCTTCCAGGGAATGCAGGTTAGGTCAATGGGCCAAAAAGACAGATCTGTGGAAATCATCACCCTATAGGATGCAGGTAGGAAATGAGTCTCCTGGGGCCCTCACAAACTACCTCTTTTGAATATGGGACTATTTAGAGACACACACAGTGCAATGTTCCACAGTAGAAAGAAGGCATTGCACACCTGCATCGCTGTCTGGAGCCTCCAACTCTGTAATGTGCTTACAGTTCAAGAGCAAAGAATAGTGCAGAAAGACACAGACATACCGTAATGACCACCTCCTAAAACTACTTTTGCTTTAGTAGTTCTCACTCAACAACCACTTCATCAGACTGCAAGTTTGGATCTTGGTACTGTTTTCAGGAACGAAACCTTTTGTTTCAAAGTGCAATAACCCTGCACAGAGGAGCAGCTACCCACCATTCGTGGTCAAAGCAGGAGTCCTGCGGGTGGGTTTCAAAATAAACTGGCATCTTGATCCGGGAGGCAGGTGTTCTGTTGTTAAGAGCTGCTGCTGGATGAAAGTTATGTCCTTAGTCTTCGGTACCATGATGCCAAGGCTGCTTCTGACATGACTCATTTTGATGCTATAAGGGAACTCGTGACCTACACAGAGAAAAACCTGAATGGAGACTTCAGGCTGACTGATAGTGATGCTGGTGCTGAACACTGCAACAGGTTAGGATCTATTCCTGGCTTTCTGTCTAATCATCCCTAGGTCCACTCACGGAGGAAATCCACCAAAGCAGTTTTTAGTAGGGAAGGTGAATAAGGGCAAAGAAAAAGACAATGTTGCTTGGAATGCACATTTCCTGTGTTGGCATAGAAATGAATACTGTTTAGAGGCAATCTGGTTTCTCCTTTGATATTAAGCAGAAGTTATTAACACTTCAACAAATTCTTGTGGTCACTCCATCTCCAATCTATGATTTAGTAGAATTTACCCTACATACCATGTGGCATTATGAGGGTCAAACTAACAAACCTTTATGGGTAGTCTAATTTTATAAGGAAAAAGAATTCAAGAACTGAGTATGAAATATAAGTGTGCAGGAGAAAATAATTAATACACACTGCTTAAATATTGTTTGTTTTAAAGTTTAGCAAACTAGCTCTGTTTTTGAGAACTGAAGAGGAAAATCCACACTTATCTTCCCAACTATACTATTAGGTGCTTGAGACTATCACTCTGGAAATGCTTAACATTTAGTATTCATGATTAATATTTAGTACTTAAGCTTCCTGGCCAATTCTGAGCTCTCTGGAGTCATGAAAACATACTCATTTATTTCAAATTTTCAGAAACTTACCTACTAGAAGATACGGTGATGCCAGTTTTCCAGTATGAATCCACAATTGATAATCCCTTTCAGTGCCCTTGGAGAAAAAACAAAATTCCTATTTGATAAATGAATAAAGTTATTTCATGCTTGCCCCCACAGAGGACACAATATTAATGTCAGTCAGGTTCCTGGCGGGAGGGGGGGTGCAGGGGGTTAGAGTTTATCCCTTTGTAAAGCCAAGAGCACTGATTCCTACAACATTTCTGCAGTCCTTCAGAGAGGATCCTGTATTTATTTACATTTTCACCTTAGTGATGACTAGGGGTGTATGAACTGCAATGTCATCAGGACCTCTCTACTGCCAGTAGCAGACAAAAAAAACCTTGACACCACATACATTTTCTAAGAAAGAAATGCCTTGGTTTTCTAAAGAGCTAATTTGGAGTGCCCTTACTCATCTGTCTCTCTATAATTGTCATTGTCAAGACTTAAACTCCAACAAGTCCCTGTGAACACAAGCTGTAATCCAGGGAGCCTCAAACATGCTATGTTTGTGTAGAGACAGAAATACTTTAGATTCTGAGTACTAGCCTTAGATGTTTCTTAACAGATGAGAATGACCAAGAAGCTCTAAGGAAAAAGTTATCTGGCACAATGTCTACACTTGTTTCATTCTGGGCAAGTCTAGTTGTGAGGACAGAAAAGATAAAACTTCTATCTAGAGAATAGGTCCATGATAAAAAAAAATGAAAGTGTTCATTAGCAGAATTATAATACAGCAATATTAAAACTCTGAAATGAAATGTATAAAATTAGGCTAATTTGGCTGTGTCGTCTGGGAGGATCAAGCAAACAATGTCTTCAGTGACATTTGAACAGACAGGCAGTATTGAATATTCTTACCTTTCCCTTTTGATTAAAAGATCACCTTTAATAGAAGATATTGGTTATGGAGAATTCCATCCTTCCAACCTCCCAATTTATAATTTCCTCTTCTATCCTAAACCCCAAAATTGTTACTGCAAATAGGAAGAATAGCTAATAAACCCCTTTGTTTTTATGTAGCATTTGAAAGCAAGAATTCCTAAGAACAGTAGAACCAAATAGCCTAAATTTCAAATGAATTTTAAAGCAATATTCATCAATTTTCTGAATTACATTTAGTAGGAGATTTATAACTTCAAGAATTGATAACTATGCAAATGAAAACAAAATTAAGAACATGAGAAAACATGAATCTTGCTTGTTTCCTCTAAGTAATTCACATGCTTACAACATGTAATTATTATCTATCTAAAAATTAATGCAGAGGGGCAAGAGAGAGTTCAGTGGTTTAGATACTTGCCTAGATGCTCAGGGATTATTCATATATTTTATACTAATTAAATATATTAATATTCAATGTAATAAATGAAATGTTCCATTCCAAATTTTGCTTGTCTCCTCATTCTTCATTTGCTCTACAAGAAAACTTAAGGTGAGAGTCTATCTTAAACGTGTAACAAAACTGTTTGGGCACTTAGATTCTCACTCAAGAACTAGTGGTGTACCAGTGCTCTCTTTTGTTTGCATCCTTCTGAAAGTCACTGCCTCTAACATAAGCATTAACTCTGTGGTGGCATTTCTATACTTGTAGGTTGGAGATGACTATTTTCCCAGCTCTTTCCTGTCACCCACCCTCAAACATTCCAATCTTTTCCAGTAATCAACAAAACAACCCCAAGAAACAAGAAACAAAAAATGCCACAGGGGAATATGTGGTGTGTATACTAATGCTCCTTATATACACTACAGAAAGCTTTTCTTTGCATTTAGTAATTCATGATAGGCATCATCCATTTCACCCTCTGCATCCAGTGACTACAGTAGCTATCTGGTCCTTACAATTCTACTACACAGCAAATCCAGAACGCATCACCTTGATTGAGGAGGTGAGTGAGAACAACCAGAGGAGGAGATGGGAAAAAATTAGGCATCTATTGACCAAGTGGCAAGGGAGAAAGGAGGTTAAAACTAGACCAAAACCTAACCTGTACCAATATACTAAACTGTGCATGTTTATAGCATATAAATATAAATATTGGAGGTCCTAGCAGGGACGCGCAGCTACTCGTATACCCTCGACCAAAGACCGGTCCGTCTCTATCGGGGAAGGCCATCCTCTTCGACCGAGCGCGCAGCTTCGGGAGGGACGCACATGGAGCGGTGAGGGAGGAAGGGGACACCCGCCTAGCCAGCCAGATCAGCCGAATCAACCCTGGCCATCAATGGGGTGACAGATGTCGCAGCCAGATCGCCCTCGGGCTGGAGCAATAGCACAGCGGGGTAGGGCGTCTGCCTTGCATGCAGCCAACATGGCCGACCCGAGTTCGATTCCTCCGCCCCTCTCGGAGAGCCCGGCAAGCTACCGAGAGTATTCGATATGCCAGACACAGTAACAACAAAGTCTCCAATGGAGACGTTACTGGGCCCGCTCGAGCAAATATAAATATTATCACTAAAATGATAGCCTAATCTCTTTTTTGATTTGCACATACTGTAAAATGAGAGAATAATAAATAATATTAAACTAATACTAAAAACAGTACCCCTTTTTCTTTATTTTGAGGGATAATGCTTGCACCTTTTAGATATTTACAAGAATCTAAGGTATCAAAGTATTTTTTTTTAAATTAAGAGTATCTAGCAGAACAACATTTCCAGAGCTGAAGAAAACTTGTGACCACATTCAGGAGGCCCGAAGGGTACCAGCTAGAAGAAATCCGAATAAAAATACCCCAAGACACATTCTGATCAAAATGACCAAAACCTTAGACAGAGACAAAATTCTGAAAGCAGCAAGATCGAAGAAAGAAATCTCTTACAAAGGAGCATCCTTAAAATTCACAGCTGATTTTTCTGATGAAACCCTCATGGCCCGAAAACAGTGGTGGGACATAGTAAAAAAACTCAATGAAATAAATGCCTCCCCCAAAATACTTTTCCCAGCAAGACTCTCATTCATAATAGAAGGAACAACACACAGTTTCACAGACAAACAACAGCTCAGGAACTTCATAGACTCAAAACCATGGTTACAAGAACAACTAAATGGGCTACTTTAAGGCAAGAAAGGCTCCTCAAATACACCCAATTTTAACATAACAATGGGACAAAATCCCATAACAATAATCTCTCTCAATGTCAATGGGCTAAACGCACCAATTAAAAGACATAGAGTGGCAGGATGGATTAGAAAATTGAACCCAACATTCTGCTGCCTGCAAGAAACGCATCTCAATAGTCAAAGCAAACACAGACTCAGAGTCAAAGGCTGGAAAACAATCCTACAGGCAAACAGCTCCCATAAAAAAGCTGGGGTAGCCATCCTTATATCAGACCACATTGATTTCAGAGTGAGGAAGGTCATAAGAGACAGTGAAGGCCATTACTTATTGATCAGAGGATCTGTACAACAGGAAGAACTTACAATAATAAATGTATATGCACCTAATGAGAGACCAGCAAAGTACTTAAAACAACTACTCATAGATTTGGAAAAAGACATCAATAGCAACACAATACTAGTGGGAGACTTCAACACTGCTTTGTCACCTCTTGATAGATCAACCAGACTCAAGCTTAGCAAGGACATACTTCATTTGAGGGAAACAATGGAAGAAAGGGACTTAGTAGATATATACAGGACACTTCATCCACAAAAAGCTGAATACACATTCTTCTCAAGCGTACATGGAACATTGTCCAAGATAGACCACATGCTGAGCCACAAAACATGCCTCCATAAAATTAAGAAGGTAGAGATTGTATCAACAATCTTCTCAGACCATAATGCGCTGAAATTAGAAGTAAATCACACACAAAAACAGAAAACTAAATCAAACACCTGGAAATTAAACAGTGCACTATTGAACAACGAGTGGATTAGACAGGAAATCAAAGAGGAAATCAAAAGATTCCTAGAAACGAATGAAAATGAGAACACGAGTTACCAAAACTTATGGGACACAGCAAAGGCTGTGTTAAGAGGAAAGTTTATAGCTCTACAAGCATTCCTCAGGAAGGAGGAGCGAGCACACATAAGTAACCTAACCTCACAGCTTAAGAGCTTGGAGAAGGACCAAAAAAAGGAGCACAACCCGAACAGGAGAAAGGAAATAATAAAACTCAGAGCAGAGATTAACGAGATGGAAACCCAAAAAACAATCCGAAAGATCAATGAAACCAAGAGCTGGTTCTTTGAGAAAATTAACAAGATCGATAAGCCTCTAGCAAAACTCACAAAGAAAGGGAGAGAGAAAACCCTAATCAACCGAATCAGAAATGAAAAGGGGGTCATTACAACAGAAACCACAGAAATTCAGAGGATCCTCAGGGAGTACTTTGAGAAGCTTTATGCCACGGAACATCAAAACCTCGAGGAAATGGATAAATTCCTAGACTCCTACAGACTCCCAAGGCTGAACCAAGAAGACCTGGAATACCTGAACAGACCTATCACCATCAAGGAAATTGAAATGGTAATAAAAAGTCTCCCCAAGCACAAAAGTCCTGGCCCGGATGGATTCACTAGTGAATTCTTCCAAATCTTTAAAGAGGACTTACTCCCAATACTCTTTAAGCTTTTCCACGAAATTGAAATATCAAAAACACTTCCAAACAGTTTCTACGAAGCAAATATCACACTGATACCAAAAGCAGACAGAGATACCACAAAGAAAGAGAATTACAGGCCGATATCCCTGATGAACACAGATGCAAAGATCCTCAACAAACTACTAGCAAATAGAATCCAACTACTCATCAAAAAGATCATACACCATGACCAAGTAGGATTCATCCCAGGGATGCAAGGATGGTTCAACATTCGGAAATCAATCAACATAATCCACCATATCAACAAAAGAAAAGATAAAAAGCATATGATCATATCAATAGATGCAGAGAAAGCATTTGATAAGATCCAGCACCCCTTTATGATGAAAACCCTAGCCAAAATGGGTATAGAGGGGACCTTCCTCAACATAATTAAAGCCATCTACCACAAGCCTACAGCAAGCATCATCCTCAATGGGGAAAAACTGAGAGCCTTCCCTCTAAGATCAGGGACGAGACAGGGATGCCCACTCTCTCCACTGCTGTTCAATATAGTACTGGAAGTACTTGCAATAGCGATTAGGCAGGAAAAAGATATTAAGGGCATTCAGGTAGGAAAGGAAGAAATCAAGCTCTCACTATTTGCAGATGATATGATACTCTACTTAGAGAACCCAATAACTTCCACCAAAAAACTCTTAGAAACAATAGACTCGTATAGTAAAGTTGCAGGTTATAAAATCAATACCCAAAAGTCCATGGCTTTCCTATACGCAAACAGTGAGAGAGAAGAAAGCAACATGAAAAAAACAATCCCATTCACAATTGTGCCCCAGAAAATCAAGTACCTAGGAATCAGCTTAACTAAGGAAGTAAAGGACCTGTACAAAGAAAACTACAAAACGCTACTTCAGGAAATAAAAGAGGACATGAGGAAATGGAAAGATATCCCCTGCTCATGGGTCGGGAGACTTAACATTGTCAAAATGGCAATACTACCGAAAGCATTGTATAAATTCAATGCAATCCCTATAAGGATACCCATGACATTCTTCAAAGAAATGGAGCAAACACTCTTGAAATTTATATGGAACAATAAGCCCCCACGAATAGCTAAAGAAATTCTTGGGAAAAAGAAAATGGGAGGAATCAACCTCCCGAACTTCAAACTGTACTACAAAGCAGTAATAATTAAAACAGCATGGTACTGGAACAAAGGCAGAACTGCAGACCAATGGAACAGGGTTGAATACACTGACATCTCTCCTCAATCATATGCTCATCTAATCTTTGATAAAGGTGCAAGTAATGTGAAGTGGAGTAAGGAAAGCCTCTTTAATAAATTGTGTTGGCATCACTGGACGGCTACATGCAAAAAAATAGGCTCAGAACTCTGCCTAACACCATGTACAAAAGTAAGATCAAAATGGATTAAAGACCTCAACATCAGACCAGAAACCATAAGGTACATTGAAGATAAAGTTGGCAAAACCCTCCATGACATTGAAGCTAATGGTATCTTCAAAGATGCCACGCCACTGGCCAAGCAAGTGAAAACAGAGATAGACAAATGGGACTATCTTAAACTAAGAAGCTTCTGCACCTCCAAAGAAACAGTGACCAAAATACAAAGACAGTCTACAGAATGGGAAAGGATATTCACCGAATACACATCTGACAAGGGGTTGATATCCAGGATATACAAAATACTGGTTAAACTCCACAAGAAGAAAACATCCAACCCCATCCAAAAATGGGGCAATGAAATGAACAGAAACTTTCTCAAAGAAGAAATCCGAATGGCAAAAAAGCACATGAGAAAATGCTCTACATCATTAATCATCAGGGAGATGCAGATCAAAACCACAATGAGATACCATCTCACACCTCAGAGACTGGCCCACATTCAAAAGAACAAAAGCAACCGATGCTGGCGTGGTTGTGGCGAGAAAGGGACACTCCTTCACTGTTGGTGGGAATGCCGACTGGTTCAGCCCTTCTGGAAAACAGTATGGACGATTCTCAAAAAATTAGAAATTGAGCTCCCATTTGACCCAGCAATACCACTCCTGGGAATATATCCCAGAGAGGCAAAAATGTATAGTCGAAGTGACATCTGCACTTGTTTGTTCATTGCAGCACTCTTTACAATAGCCAGAAACTGGAAGAAACCTGAATGCCCAAGAACAGATGACTGGTTAAAGAAACTTTGGTACATCTACACAATGGAGTACTATGTAGCTCTTAGAAAAGATGAAGTCATGAAATTTACATACAAGTGGTACAATATGGAAAGTATCATGCTAAGCGAAATGAGTCAGAAAGAGAGGGATAGACATAGAAAGATTGCATTCATCTGGGGGATATAAAGTAACAAAGTATGAGATTAATACCCAAGAATAGCTGAGATCAGCACCAGGAGGATTACTCCATAACTTAGAGGCCAGCCGGGTATCCTAGAGGAAAGGGCTATTCAGATAGAGAAGGGAGCACCAAATAAAGGATGTTTGGAGGATCCTCCCAGGAGGGGAGATGCATGTCGAAAGTAGACTATGGACTGAACATGTTTGCCACTCAATGCCTCTTTTGCAGACCACAACACCCAAAAGGAGAGAGAGAACACAGGGGATTGCCCTGCCACAGAGACGGGGGGATGGGGGGATGGGGGTGGGAGGGATATTATCCATGGTGGTGGAAAATGGGCACTGGTGGAGGGATGGGTATCTGATCATTGTATAATTGAAACCAAAGCACAAAAAATTGTAAATCTACAACTTAAAAAAAAATAAAATAAAATAAAGGGAAAAAAAAAAAAAGAGTATCTAGCAGAGTAACTTACAGTTAATCCTAACTCCGAAAGGGAGGTATTGATGACTTCGATTACGGTCTCAGAGTTCTTAACATTCAAAGTTTTGAACTGAAAAAAAAAAAAGAAATATAACTATAAGAACTTTTTAACAGATGAACAAATCATGCCAAGTGATTATTCAAAGGCATATCTTGACTTCAATTGCTGGTAAAACACATAAACAGAGAACATATTTTTCTATAAATTATTTTCTGCCCATTGTCCATTGTATATGATGCATTATAATATAATATCAATTTCTTCTAAAATATGTGACTCACCCAATAAGGCTCTAAGAAGCAGAATAAATATTATTTTCAGAGGAAGTATCTGTATCATACCCTCCCTGCACCAGTGGGAGGTTGGTTTTCTGCATCATTTCTCTCTTTGTATTTTCATAGTGTAATTATGAAAAAAAGAACTGTATCCTGAGTACTGTTTCCACAGGGTGAGCTTTTGTTTCTATACATGGTAGAAATTCAGCTTAGCTAAGGTCAGAATAACAACTGGCTACTAAGAGCTTCAAGTTAGAACTTTCAAAACTCACTTCTTTTTTTTTTTAAGCACTTTCTATGTATCTGGCACTGTTGGCTACAGAGAATTTCATTGTAGAATTTCTGGGGGTGGGGATACATCTTAAAATCCAGGTCTAGCAAATGAGAAGAAAATTTTAGAGAGTTAAGATTCTACTCCTACTCCAAACTATGTCACCGAGCACAGACAAATAGTTCTGTGATAAACTGTATTGATAAATTAGAAGATTAGGATATTTATAGAGATGAATCAATTATAAAACATTGACTTTGACAATGATATATCATAAAAATATATACTATGAAATAAAGTTTTTTTGTCTTTAAAAAAACTTTTTTTTTTTTTTTAAATAGGAGCCACACCTGGCAGTGCTTGCTTAGCCATAAAATGCTGGGAATCAAATGCAGGGCCTTATACATGCTCAGTTTTTACAGATAATTTTCAGAAAAAGAGCAATTAGGTGGTATAAATGAAGTAACAGGCAGCATAAATGGAAACAAAATATAAGAGCAAAAAGATTAAAAGTATAAAGGCTAAGTGACATCTACTCATGATTCTTAACTTTCCCATCACTGACTATTAGTTTTTCTCTAGAAGCCAATTACTTGACATGATTTATTATCTGTTGAGATTGCTGATTTCAAACTCTTATAGTTCTAAGAATTATGCAACATTGTCTTGGTACCCAAAAGAATTTTAAAATTACCTAATTAGTGCTTGTTTTCCCAGAATGGAAAAGTTGTTTTCTATTTTGGGCCAAACTTGATTTTTAATTTCATGAGGTGCTTCTGCCTTTTTAAAAGTCTGAATACCCCTTCAAGGAAACCCTCATCAATTCTCATAATGGATAACCTATCTTCTAATACTAGTAATCACTGACAAAGTACCTGGTTTCTTTCTTTTTATTTCTGCAGTGCAGGGAACTGGAACCCAGAGGTTCACATCATTCTGACTCCTGGGCCACATCCCTGCCCCCCTGGAATCTCTATGGTTTCTAAGGTAATGTCTTTCTTAACACTAGGCACATAGATTCAAATGATTCATTAGAGGCTGTGGATTTTTCCCTGCATGCCTTTCCTGCAGATAAAATGAATTTTTAGCAGAGGAGAGAGCTCTTTGGTCAGTAAGCTAAACAAAGGAGAAAATCTCTATTCTTTTCCATCCAGTAGAATCCATTTGTCAGACTGAAAACCTACAGGCCAGGAGGAATAAAGCTCCTTTTCCATACATTCCTATTTTATGGGAATGAACTTTTTCTATAAGCACGAGTCTTTGAATGAAAACCCTCACCAAGAAACAACTCAGATGTGTGTCAGCTCTTACATTCACTTCACCAGGTACGAGTGATACAGAGTCAAACTGACCACATTTCTTGTCTTACAAAGGAAGAGCCGGACATTAGTCCTTCCTCATTTTCCACACACTGAAAAGGGGAGATAGGCATGGTGGGTGGACACTGACACATGGTTGAGGCTACAGTGTTAGAATGTTTTCTGTGAGAAATGCTGGCATTAGCAATGTTGTAAATCACGGGGCCTGACATGTAAAAATGGAAGTACTAAAAGAATGCAAGAACTCTCACTCCAATAAAATTAGTGAATGTAACCAGTGACCACAGAAATTGAATGAAAATCTACAGAGAAATAAAATGTGCTTGCTTGGTCTGAGGAGAGATCTCTGTAATCTCTTGTCATAAAAATTTGAGTATTTCTCATAAGCAGTGATCCCTAGTTTTTATGTATGAACATTGGCATAACTTCTGCATGGGGCTAAAATGTAACTATTTTACTCTACTTTCACACAAAACTATTGGAGATGTGTGAAGTATTCTGGCCTTTATATCATGAAAATATTCATAAGCTTTCATTATGCTTCCTGTTGATAACACCTGAGCTCTTGTAGTATATTTCAGTTCTTAAATCATCCATAATAACTAGGGATTGTCACTGTCACTGTCCTCCTGGTATTCATCGATTTGCTTGAGCGGGCCCAGTAATGACTCCATTGTGAGACTTGTTGTTACTGTGTTTGGCATATCAAATACATCACGGATAGCTTGCCAGGCTTTGCCGTGCAGGTGAGATACTCTTAGTAGCTTGCTGGGCTCTCCAAGAGGGGCGGAGGAATTGAACTCAGGTCGGCCACGTGCAAGGCAAACACACCCTACTCGCTGTGCTATCACTCCAGCCCTAGGGATTAAAGACTAAAATTTTATTTGTACACTGTGACATAGCCACATGCTAATCTTTTAAAAATGTCATCTCTTCCAGCCCATCTACTTATAAATAATGAATAAATCTAGATTTTAAAAACTAAAAACAAAAACACCCCAAGCCCCAAAACCAACCAGTTCACAAATCTCTCACTTAAACATGGACAAATTGGAAAAAATTGTGGAAATGGCCATATTCTGAGCTTCTGCAGCTACTTCCCTACGGATCCAGGGAAATATTAATACCAGGGGGAGGGAAAGGACATCTGACAAGCAATATTCTTTCCATGTGGAAATATGAAATTCTGTGCTTACCAGGACTTTTGCTTCCTTCATTTGCGCTACAGTGTACATTTCCTATAGACAGTGACACACTTATGCCCAGGAAGCTCATTTTTCCACAATACTAGTTCTAGATGCCCAGCCTTCCATAGTGCATACACTTCCTATCTCTCTCTATACACTTATGCAGGGCATTAGAATTTAATTTTCTGGCTTAGAAAACACTTACCTTTGCACAGTTGTCAATATTCTGCGTATAAACCTTCATTGAAACAACCTTCGGAAAATCTTTTTCCTTTTCAATGTTGACATATCTAATCAAATTCAACACCGAGTCAGTTTTCTTCTAATAATTTTAATAATTTATTATTAAATTAATCTATTGAACTCATATTTTCAGTATACTTATTTGCTATTAAAAACTAACAGAAAGATTCAGCAAAGTCAGATTACATTATAGGTTAAAAAAAATAAAAAATTCTTAGGGCATCAGGCATGCATGGGAACAAAACAAGACCAGGAGATCCATTCATTCAAGTGAGTTCTGAGAAGCCTAATCATGTTAAAGTTCCTCCAGATGATGGTTTATCCTTATTGTTGCCCTACTTTCTTCAGAGGCCCAGAACCTGACTGATAAGGAATGATACAATACTTGACAGAACCAAAACAATGACCTTTTCAGTTCTTGAATGGAGTCTAAATCTCAATTCTCCCAAGATAATTGCAAAGGGAGAGAGGGGAGGAGGAGCAAGGAGCTACGAGTCTGATAAATAAAATGAATCATTTGAGTCTGTCTGATTCATGGTAAAGAGAATTATTTTTGAGGTCAGCACTGTCACTGTCAGCACTGTCCTCCCGTTGTTCATCCATTTGCTCAAGCAGGCATCAGTAGTGCCTCCATTTTGAGACTTCTTGTTACTATTTTTGGCATATCGAATATGCCATGGGGTACTCAGCAGAAAACTTCCATATATAGAAACTTATCACAAGTTTTTGCAGAAATGTTTCGCTCCAAGAGGAGGTTAGAGATATGGAAATGGATGGAAGAGAGTACTATTTATGTCTAAAATGATCTAAACAAACTTCAGTGTTCTCATTTCTAGAAAGTAAGAAATACATGGAACATGAGAACATTATTTACACTAAGTAGTAGTAAACAGTCTCAACAGCTTATTTTGAGGACAAATGAAACATTTTTAGGAAGGAAAGGGGAAAAAAATTGGACAGATATCTGTAGAAAATACTGAAAAAATACCTTTGTAACAAGGTAAGCCAATTTTCCTTCTGCTCTGCAGAGCTGTAATCAAAGAAAATGGGATAGAAAAATTAATCCACTATTAAATTTAAAAATAAAAAGAATTCAAATGAAACCATAAAATCCTTCTGTGAACCTATACTTAGGATTATCAATGGAGATGTACCATTAACAGATTGATGCTCTTTATGGGCCTGTATACTATTGCCATCTTGGTCTCAGTCTGGAGAAGTTTCCAGTGAAAACCTCTTGGAAAAATTTTCAGTCAAGTCCTGTTTTTCCGGTCCTCTTGGGAGGATCCAAGACAGGCCCACTTTCTGACTTAACTGCTATTTGACAAGTGATATTGTACCAGTGGGAAGTAGTTCTGATAGTGGAGTAAGTATTTGATTTGGCATTTAAAAAATTTTGCAAACTTCATGATCATTGGAAAAAAAATCGCATAATACTGTTGAGCTTCAATCCTCCTAGATGTCAAATTGGCCACTTAGCTCAGTATTTGGTAGCATCAGATGCCAAATTAAAAGTATGGTTCACTGGAACTTCGAAAGATGAAAGCAGATTGGAAAGACAGTTCAGAGGTTTATCGGTTGCCTTAGGAAGGCCCTCAGTTCAGTTTCCTGGCACCACGTGTCATCTGTTACCACTGCCTGGTGGGTCATCCCCAGTGTCTCCCAGAACTGTTGGGCCTGAGCACCCAGTCACCTGGCCGCCTGGCTGATTATCACTGGGAGCAGCCCCTGGTTCACCTCCCCAAATAAAACCCATAAGAAACTTAGTCCATTGAGAGTCAAGTAAATTGGATCTGAAATCTGTTGTTAGGAAAAAAATTGATACTACATATTAAAAGCCTGTTATTTAATTACACTCAAAGGAGACATTCTTCATCAGAGTCATCTGGTTAAGTTTAATGATAACTAAAATCACTATTTTTTTTTCCCTGAAGTCACTGTTACTTTCTTTGATTTGTTTTTGGTGGGGAGTGAGGAAATGGGACACCCAGCAGTGTCAGGAGATGATGTAGTGCTGGGGTCTGAATGTAGTCATATATTGAAGGGTCTAAGGAAACAAAGTAAAGGTTCTCAGGTATTTGGGGAGGCTGGCTCCTAGGTACCAAAGATTTATATATATGTACATATATATACTTTTTATCAGCAGATACCTCACCCATGTGTGGCAAGTGTCCAGAGTAACTGAGAAGAAACAACTGGGCACAGAAGGAGATAAATGTCAGCCACAGACTGGATTTCAGAAACTTTTGATATACTTTGAAGACATTAAAACTTCTTCTTTTTTTATTCGCAGGGCAGTGGCTTTTTGGTCACACCTGAGAGTAGTCAGGGGGCTGTATGCAGCACTGTTGACTACTTGGGTAGTCATATCCAAGGCAAACACCTTAACCCCTGTACTAGTTCTTCAGCCCTAATCACCAATTTCTCCGTGATTCTACACTCAAGAAAACAAGTACCCTGGTAAAGAAGAAAATTAAGAGATTTACCAGCCTGGTAAATTAAAAGCTCAAGGTCAATTTTAATCTGATCTACAAGAACAGATTTTTCTTGTGTTACTGAGTGTGTAAAATAAATGTCTCACTAGGTATCTAAGTATTTCTGATGACTTTTGCAGATTTATCATTTGATATATTTCCTATATCTCTCAAACAGTGCTCCCATTTTTACTATACTTCTCTATCAAGCAAGCTGCAGTGCTTATTTCCCTAGCAGGCACAGGTCCTAGGTTTGTGAATAAAGAGGACAAGTGGTGAAAGACATCAGAAATACCTTGAAAGCCTTTTCTAAAGATGAGGTGGCCGACTTTGACCATAAGTGTGGAAAGCTCGGACTGCAGCTGAATCTGATGAAAACAATGTTCATGAGAAACAGACTCGTTCCTGACATTCCATTCACTCTCAATGGAATGAACATCTCCGAATGCAGCAGTTATGTGTATCTAGGTCAAGAACTCAACATGACAAACGACCTGAGTCGTACAGGAGGAAGAGAGCTACATGGAACACCTTCAAGAACATCGAAGAAATAGCTAAGAGGACGAAGAACCTCCGGCTCTGGGCACATCTCTTTGACTGCACTGTCCTTCCTGCATCAACATATGCATCAGAGTTCTGGGCCCTATGAAAACAGGATGAGAATACTATTCGGATCTCCAAAAGAGGAATCGAAAGAGCTATGCTTGGAGTATCATGCTTCACTTAAGTGAGAGAAGGAATCCGGAGTTCCAATCTCTGTCAACGAAGGAGAATCAGGAATGCTTTTGCTAAGGTGTTGAAAATCAGATGGGCTGGACACATAATGCGATTTGGAGATGACCTTTGGACTAGAGCCGTTACCGACTGGATTCCACAGGACATCAAAAGATTGTGTGGCCACCCATCTATGAGATGGTCAGACTTCTTCGTCAAGACCATGAATGAATGGTTTGAGACTCTTCATGTTCCTGGAGTGAGCAGACACCATTGGGCTACACTAGTTCGCGACAGGAACGAATGGAGATGTTACTGGTGCCTGCTCGAGCGAATTGATGAGTAACTGGATGTCAAGTGATCAAGTGATCCAGTGATATTTGGACAATATAGTGCCACCGTTATGAGAGGCTGATTCTTAAGCTGCCAGCCAGATTTACCCATCCCATTTCTGATGTTCTTCACCCCTTCCTTCATGCTCAAGTTTTCCCTCTGGGGTTTCACATCAGAAAGAAAAATTTCATCAGTTTTTTTTATTTTTTTGTCAAATAGGTCTGATGACAAAAAGTTCTTGCGGCTTTAGAAAAACATTCTACTATCATTTTTTCAAGGTTATTTTTGCGGCTGTGGTATTACAGGGTGAAAGATTTTTCTTTTACCATTTTAGAGAGGGCATTCTACAGTATTCTAATGGCCACAGTTTCTGATGACAAGTTCATCGTGATGTGAATGAGTTTTCCTTTCCATGGAGTATGTTCTTTCTTGTCATCTTTGATCTAAAGTAGTGTATCTAATACAGCCAAATGTTTTCTTCAATCTCCTTTTAGTAGTTCACAGAGCTTACTGAAACTACCTGGATGAGTTCTACCAAAATTGGGAGGGTTTTAACCATAATTTCTTCAAATATTTATTGTCTCATTTCCCTTCTCTCATCTTTTTGTAGTTCTAGCCAGAAGTATGTTATATCTTTTGGCACTTTCCAATAAGTATCTGTTACTTAAATTTTTTTTCTATTATCAGGCGATTTGTATTGCTGTTATCTTTAAATTCAGTGAGTATTTCCTCTTTCATTTTCATTCTGCACCAAGGCTACACAGACAATTTTTTCCATTTTCAAATGGTAGGGTTTTTAAATTCACGTAAGTCAAAACCATATTGTAAAGGGCCCAAGGAATAGGAGTTAAAGCACCAAAAATGTAAGGTATTGTAGTTTTCAACTGTGAAATTCTCATTTGGATCTTTAAAAAATGTTTTCTACTACTGCTGAGATTTCTAATCTTTACGTTCATTTTATTTGGCTTTCACTAATGGAGCTACTAGTAATAACAACAGCTGTCAACCTCTCTCACCTGTGGCATGCAGCATTCTAGTTCTTTGACTTTTGCTTCCAAGGGCTTTGATTATACCTTGTTGTGAGGACTATGTAGAGTATATGGACAATTTTTTTGAGCTTCCCTTTCCCTACTCTCTCGAAAGACTCCCCCTCTCACTTCCCTGTGGTGGCAGTGAACCTCTCTGCATTGTGGTTCTTCAGTCCAGACGAGACTGGGTTTTTGTCAAGAGTAGCCCCTGAGCGCAATGAGTATGGCCCAAGATGTCCTACCTGAATAAAAATATAGTATGCATATAACAAACACTAAAACAAATGCTAGAATGAGTTGGTGGTGTGCAACTGATCAAGATCACAGGTTTGAATTTGAGTGTACTTATGAACCAAAAACTCATTCAGCACATTCAGGATAAAAGCAGTAAGACTTTCTATTCACCAATTCTCCGAGCCCATCTTAGCTTTGGAATGAGTCCTATAAATCTAACCTTTACCCCCTGAAAGAAACTTGCTTCTGATTGTCACATCTCTCAGGTTTCCAAAGCAGAACATGATAGACAGTTTGGGTAATCCATTATTTTGTAGCATTACTTTTATTCCTATGATGATAAATGACTTCTAGTCAATTGGGGAGTATAGTTTTTTCAATTTAACTGACTACTTTGTAAGAATGCTGCGTGCCACAGGTGAGAAAAGTTGACAGCTGTTGTTATTGATAGTAGCTCCATTAGTGTAAGCCAAATAAAATGAATGTAAAGATTAGAAATCTCAGCAGTAGTAGAAAACATTCTTTTAAAGATCCAAATGAGAATTTCACAGTTGAAAACTACAATACCTTACATTTTTGGTGCTTCAGTGAAGTTCTATCTCAGTCACTTGAAAAGATCAACTTGAAAGTTCCACATCCAAAACACAAGGGAAGGAGATGCTGGTTGGGAAGTGCCATGTTTGTGACCACTTGTGTCCTCTTTCAAAGTCACTGGTGAAGACAAATGACTCCAAGAGTTCCCCATATTCACCCCTGATTTCACATTGTAAGAACTCTTTAGGAGAATCAAAGGCATACAAGTTTTCTATGAAAGTGTGTCAAAAGAGCTGTTACAGGTTTCATGCACAACCAGAATGAAGTGCTTTATACAATGAGGCTTTTCAAAGGGACCAGTATGGCAATAATAGCTGGAAAATGAGCATGCTGGACAAGAACTGAGTGTTAAAAGTAGGCAACAGGATATACCTGATACCCTTTCGGTTAGTATCTGCATTGCAAACCACAATGTCCAAAAGGAGGGAGGAAAGGAGGGTCAAGGAAGGATGGAGGGACAGAGAGGGAAGAGAAAGAGAGGGGGAGGAAGAGATAGAGAAGGAGGGGAGAGAGAGGCCTGCCATAGAGGCAGGATGGGGTGGGGGAGGGGGTGGGAAGTGATGGGAGGGAAACTGGGAACACTGGTGCTGGGAAATGTACACTGGTAGAGGGATGGGTCTTGAAACACTGTATGACTGAAAACTAATCATGAACAACTTTGCAAATATCTATCTTATAGTGATTCAACGAAAAAAATCTTAAAAATATGAATTAGCTTTTACTCTATCCTAGAAATGCTCTAAAAATTTACTTTCCTAGTAGCTAAGCACATACACACAGGAAAAAATACAGGTCTTACCTAAATGTTGCCACGAAGTTTACTATGGGCCATCCTAACATGAATGATTTAACAGAATTACAGTTTCTTTCCTCAACTTCTTCGGTACACGTTGATATCCACATATCAGACAATCTTACTTTATATTTAATTTTATAACTGTTATTATACCTGAAAAGATAAAGCCAAACAGAATTTCCTGTTATGTGATTTCTTAAAAGTGATGAGAGTTTCTGTACTTTTGATAAGAGTGTAGTTTTCAGATGTTAGGGGCAAACCAAATCCTTATCCTTACTTTCATTGTCAAGCTCAGGAAATTTTAATTTGGCCTAATGCAATCTTTGAAATAGTTGATGCATTAGCCCACGTGCCTACATTCATGGTAGAGAATTGCCATAAAATGACAACTTTATTTTTCTAGATGTTGAACATTACATTTGGATCAAAAACATAATTTTGAAAGTATGATTAGAAAGGAAATCAGTTTATTTGTAACATGCATATTTCCAAGATGATTTAAGTACCTGAAAAAAATATTTAAAATTCCTTTTTTGAGATTTGGTTCACATGGTGTTCCCTTCTATTTTGGCTAGAATAAAAAACAAAAACAAACAGAGCCTAAAAGCAGAGCCCCAGATGAAAGTGAAAGAGAAAAGAAGTCAGAGAGAATTAGATTGAAAAGAAGTCAGAGAGAATTAGAGTCACCACAAGGAATCATTTCTGGGGACTGAGAAAATTATCTACTTTAATTCAGCAATAAAACTGATTTCTGACAATATCTACGTCATCTTCCCTGACTTCAGCTCCTTAGGACCATGGTAGTAAAACCGATTTGTCTCTTGACCTAATTTGCAGATGTCAGGAACACTCCTAAAGTAACTGAAAGTTAAACAGGAAGGAGGAGAGAATGTCCAGGGAAATGTGACTTCCTATCACTCAGAACCACCTGCAGAAATAGTCAAAGTTGCAATGAAATCAGAGATACTTCAAACAAAAATGTTCCTTCAAAGTCTTCTCATTCCTAGCATATTTAAAACAAAAACATCACACTAGGATTTATGAAATTATAAACAATGATCTGTGTTCTTCCCGTAGAGCACAAAAATGTCAACTGTCATCTAAAAGTGCAGGAGAGGGGGCTCAATGGCTTCTTCCTTATATTTCAATCCTTTTTATCCAATCACTTTGATAGATTTTATGAAAAAATTTCATAATAAAAAATCTTATTTATTGATGCCAATCAGGCGATAGAAAACTGAAACCGCATCTTTGGGAAGGTAAGATATGTTTACATTTGTCTATCATCATTTTGTGTCGTCTAATGCAGTCTCTTGCCCTAGCAGTTACTTCACAGACCATGTCAGAATGTCCTTCTCTACGGACCTGTCCAAAAAATCGGGGGACTTTTGAGATTCTTATCCTAAATCAACACAGTACATGGACTATCTCCTAACCCTTTACCAACACCAAGCAGTTGACTAACTCTAGACAAAGCTTCTATAGCTTTTGATTTCTCAGATATCATCTGAAGGAACAAAAGCAATCTCCACATGGGTTCTGAAGGTGAACTGAAGAAATGTAGAATGTAAGGCAGTAAAGTTATTCAATGAGAAACTAAATCATTTCAACCAATGAACGGATGCAGCATACAACCCAGTCCTCTCTCCAGGAGTGAGAAATAAAAAGAAAGCCACATGCTATTTCGGGGGTTGGTTATCCTTTCTTAAGTGATGCTTGTTTTCAGAAAAAAAAGTTCCTTAGTAGAAGGAAGGATCTGTAAACATTATCTGAATATTTATGAGAATGATCCTCAGAAAATTTTATGAAAAAATTGAAAAAAACTGTGCATGGTGGCAGTATGAAATGAAGGATAAGCTCTTCAAAACTGTCTATTCTCTCCCCAGGGTCTTGGGGTAATGTACCATCTCCACCTAAATTAACCTAGGTCACTCACACTTTTTAATATCCCCAATGGATATAGTAACTTCTCAAAATAATATTTACGAACTAAATTTCTTAGGTCAGAATAGTCAGTGTACAGAGATCTTGTCACTTCATAAAAACATTTAGGTGATAAAAAGAGTCATCAAACACTGATGTGGCAAATAAAGTAGACCTGAGTGCAAAATGGCCACTCAGTGAGGAGTGAGTGAAAGAAGTAGGCACAGATTCTGCAAATATACTTCAAACAATTTTAGAGAAGAAAAGAGATGAATTTTTAAAAATAATTTTCATAAACATTTTAATGTGTATTTTGTAACTGTCCTTTCTAGAAAAAAAAACCACAGGTATCAGGTAGGTCCTAGAAATATTCAGAACATTAAATTAATTGCAATATGAAAACTAAGGGTCTTCTACACTGTTTTGTCCTTACTGTTTTGTGAAAAATCTCTCTCAATAGGTGAAAAATACTTTTCCTTGGAAGAGCTGAATACTTGTTCTAGTCAATATGATCCTAAAGTACAGTATTCAGTGGTTGTTTTCTTGTCTGCCTCCAGACTGAGCACAAAGTTCTGCACCTAAGGAGTCCAAAGTAGAAAAGCAAAAGAGTCCAATGTAGAAAAGCAAAAAGGAGCAGCCACGATGTAAGAATCTACATAATATATGTGTTATAGTGAATATACAGTGAAATACTATGCAGCACTAAGAAAATATGAAACCTTGCACTGCAACATTGATGGAACTAGATGAATGCTCATGTTAAGTGAAATAAACCCAAAGAAGGCCAAATACTGAATAACCACATTGGGCCACTTTCTTCATTGCACCCCAACACTTATTGAGGGTCCAGCATAAATATGGCAGAGACCTATCGAACATAAAACTCACTTCAGATCATGGCTCAAAATGAAGATGTTTGCTTACAGATATTCTTACAGTAAGTTCTGGGTAGAAAAATGGTTTAATGGTGATGCTGTTTTATAGTATAAACTACATTGTGCATAATACTTACTTTATTTTAGTGACAATAAGTATATCATTGTAGAGAAATAAATGACGGTCCTGTTTCTGCATGCCTCTCTTCAATTCAACAGGACTACTCAGCAGTAACTCTCTCTGAGTGGTTAAGGCGGGTGAACAGCAGTAGGGTTCCACATGGACAGTAGCATCCTGTCTGTAATTATCAAGCACCACAATCTTTAGTCAAACAAACAGATTTCAACAAAATCACAGTTTCTAGTGGTCACATTCAAAGGTCTCTATGTTTTCCAGTACAATGGTTCAGTTCCCTGAATATTTTAAGTCAACTGCTACACAGAAGTTTTGAATATTTCATTAGAAAAAAATTCAAACAGCAAAGTTGAAATTTTATAACACATGTATACCTCAATTTAAATTCAACCATTCCAATGTTTTATCTTCAGTGTACCATGAGTTTCAATGTATGCATTCAACTTTGGAATCTGAACCCTGTCAGGACACAGTATATCCTCACTGCAAATCTGTTCTCAGGTGTTACCTAAACTCACTGAATATGGATTGCTAATGAGTTACTTTTCTGAGTTATTTTTTCAATGCAGGCAGAGACCCACTTGCTCAAAAGTCTTCTAGTGCCAAACACAAATCATTAGAGATTTTTTAAAATTTGCCCAAACAAGCAGATTTTACCTGGTCTTGCTAACTCTATGGGCTGGAATAATAGCTCAGCGGGTAGGGCATTTGCCTTGCATGCAGCCAACCCAGGCGACCCGGGTTCAAGTCTTCTGCCCCTCTCGGACAGCCAGACAAGCTACTGAGAGTATCACGCCCATGCGGCAAATCCTCGCAAGCTCCCCATGGCATATTCAATATGCCAAACACAGTAACAACAAAGTCTCACAATGGAGACGTTACTGGGCCTGCTGGAGCAAATCGATGAACAACGGGAGGACAGTGCAGTGTAGTGCAGTGCAGTGCATTCTCTATGAAACTATAACCAGCATCTGGTGGCCACTGATGAGAGTCCTGGGATAAGTCACTAACTGCCCTGTGGAACTCTGACCCAGAGATTCCCACTGGCCATAAGGTGACATCACCTAGACATGTTATCTCCAGACATGCCCACTGGGATCCATTTTCCTGTAGTAGTTCCTTTGTCTCCTCCCTTTCTGGGTGGTGTTCCTATGACCATAAGCTCTCAACAGTCTCATGATATGCGAATATCATGCATCTTTTTATGCATGTCTGCTCATTAGTCTTAACTTTTTCCGTGACTGGCAACCCCCAACTCTCAAATACCTTACATAAGTTATTTTTTATACAGTACCTGTAACAACTATTTTGATTTTCCCACCCCCACCCAATCTCACTGAAAATTAACTTTGTTCTTTCTTGTTGTTTCAAGGACAAGGTTTTTTTTTCTTGTTTTGAAGACCATACCTGGAAGTGCCCAGGGCTTACTCTGGCTATGTGCTCAGGGGCCAATCCTGGCATTTCTTGAAGACCAAATGTAGTGCTGGGAATGAAACCTAGTTCAATGAATGCAAGGCAGGAGCCTTACCTGCTGTACTATCTGGCCCCTACAATTTATTATAAATGGAATCAGAGTAGGTATTCTTTTGTATAGACATCTTATTCAACATTCTTTGGGGAATAATTCATAGTGTTTCATTTAAGGGCTGGGGAGACAGCACAAATGCCTGAATGCATATTTCACAGGCAGGAATCTTGGGCTTAATCACAAGCACTATATCCAGAGCACCACCCGAAATGACTTCTGAGCACTCTGGATGTGACAAAACTCCCAAGTCCCCAATTATTTTAAAACTCATCTCTAATTCATTTCTTTATATTGCTTAAGGGTGTTCTAATGAATATATCTAATGGTTTAGCATAATTTTAAATGTTGCTTTTAATTATAATGATAAACTGTTAGACAGAAGCATAGTTTCAGCTAAATATCCTCAAACAATAACTAACAGGATCAGTCAGTTTGGCTTTGAAGACCACATGGTTTTTGTTGTCAATTGACTTATCTCTGTTCTTGGATCACAAGATCAGTAAAAGGTAATTCATAAATGAACAGATGTGGTGACCTGGATCCAACAAAAGTTTATTTACAAAAGTAGGCATTCTGTATTGCATGGGATGATGATTCCTGCTTTAAACATTTCTAACATCTTTAAATGCATAAAGAGGCTAATTGAAGACAATTAGTGAATTTTTTGGCTAGAAGTTAGTATAGGTCAAAGGCTAATGAGTTTTTTAAAAATAGTTTTCATTTTAAGCAATTAATAAAGAATTTCATAAACAATAACTTGGTTCCTCACAATGTACTCCACAATATTTTCAAATCAATTTGATGGTAAATACTGTGGATGAGGAGAATTCAAAAAAAGTTAAAATAAGTTTTTCTTTTCAGTGTTTCTTTGAATTCAGTATTTATCAATGTGCATGTCCACACTCTGTTCAAACTCTAAAAGTACATAAAGGGAAGTCTTACTGCCTTAAGACTTTAACTTGTGAAATACGGAAACATTTGAAATATGGTAGTGGGAAGGTGTAATGGTGGTTTGATTGGTGTCCGAATATTAAATGTAATAAGTTAACGTGAACAGCTTCAAAAAATCAACCAACATTCATACAGTACTCTGGAGTAAAAATAAACATCTCAGCACTCACATCATTTGAAAAAGATCTGTAATAAAAGGAAAAAAAGTGCACAAATAATCACGTTTTAAAAACTACAATCTTGATCAGTGTTTCCTACTTTAAAATGTATTCTCAATTATGTGACTTTGAAGAGTTTATTTTTATTCTGAGTGCAGTATAGATGTGTTTATTTTCGGCTCAGAATATGGAGATGGGGAGGAGGCTAAGATTATAACCTTCTATTTAGCCTCTTAACATAGCTTCATTATGATTTGTAAGTTATAATTAACACAACTAAAATGATGTAACAAATACAAGCTCAGTCTGAAACTCAGGCTGCGCCCTGCTTATTGTGTATTAACATTGTATTTTCAAATAAGTTTGGAAAGCTATTATGAAAGGCAGAAAGAAGTTTTAGGACCTTAATGTTTTAGTGGATAGTAGCTTTCATGAAAGTTCCACAGCTGTGAAAGTAGACTATAGACCGAACATGATTGTCACTCAATGCCTCTTTTGCAAACCACAGCACCTAAAAGGAGAGAAAGGATAAAAGGGAATGCCCTGCCATGGAGGTGGGGTGGGATGGGGGGATGGGGGAATGGGAGGGATACTGGGATCATTGGTGGTGGAGAATGGGCACTGGTGGAGGGATGGGTACTCTATCATTGTATAACTGAAACCCAAGCACAAAAATTTGTAAGTCTACAACTGTACCTCATGATGTTTCACTAATAAAAATTAAATATATAAATACTTTTAAAAAAAAGTTCCACAGCTGTATTTTTTCATGTATATTACAAAAACTTATTCCAAAAGTGAGTCCGTTTTTAGGTCTAATTTAAGATATTTAGGTACAAGATATTAGGGCTCACTTCTAGGTAAAATTTGCTTCCTCTTCAATCATAAAAGAAAACAAAACTTCAGAGTAATTCTTGAAATGTCTGTGTTCTAAGTGGCAATCAGAGTAAGAGGACAAGTCCTAGAAAAACCTTGTGAGCTCAAGACCCAACACATTCATATCTCCCAGGAAATTCGAGCAAACCTTGAACATTTCTCTTGAACCAGCACTTCTTATCTGCCTAGACACTCCTTAAGTATTAGTATTCTATATCTCTTGATCATATGATTCTTGCTCTTATTTGTAACCTTATTTGTAACAGAGATTTGGGCTGTCTTTGCTGGGTGCCTGTCATGTGTCAATCACAGGGATGAGAAAATCAGATAAAGTAACACAATGCCCAGCCTGTTGTTAAGCACAATCAAAGGAATACAGAGTATTGAGAAATTGAATTTTCTCTCATTAAATGTCATTTCTGCTGTGCACAGAAAAGAGGAAAAATGAGAGGCTCTCTAGGAGCTCTGCTAGGTCACGAAGTTTCTTGGAAGAACCAGAATCTTGAATTAGGGGAGGAAGAGGGAGAATGACAGACCAGTGTGAGGAGAAAGAAGAGCCAGCACTTGTGCTGTCCTTTAACAATGGGCAAGTTCAGAAGGGTTGGACTGGCAGGGTCTGAGGAAGAGGAGCATCAGAGAAGGAAGGGGTGATGGCATGGATGTTTTTCCTATGGCATTTGGAATTTATTTAAAAGCATGGACAGGTTTTAATCGGAATGTTGTGTTGGTAATATGCTAGAGAAAATAGAGGCAGGGAAGGGTAGAGTCAGTAAGGAAGCCCTTTCATAATTTGTGGCATTCAATGAGATGTCATGGCCAGAGTTAGCAGGAAGAAAAGAACAGACGTCATAGAAGAAAGCATAGCGAAGAGATAAAAGTCTCCAGATTCAAATTTGCAAACTGATTAGTTATTGGTGGTTGAGAAAGAGTTAGAAGTGACCAAGCAAAAAAATAGAAACTACTTTGTATATTTATTTTTGCATTCCATACATTCCTGCTATCTATATCTAGATGTTGGCAGCCTCCTAAAAGGATGAAGTTACAGCATAAACATGTTAGATTTCTCTTCAACTTCTGTGGAACTTTGAGTGTTCTTACACCAGCAGCTCTCGCTTGACACTGCCTGTCATTCTTGCACAGTTCAATCTGCAGCGGAGGCTGAAAATCACAGCCACAGTCCTACTGTGGCCCACACAGTACTCAAAATCCTCTGACTCTGATTTCCGGGTCACCACAGACCACAGTCCCCCTGTTCCTATTGACACCCTAAGAACTTATCTCTTCCTTGGCACAAAAGCTTCAATTGATATTTAAAAGCAACTCAGGAGAGGGTTCCTCCTACTGGAAACCGCAAGTAACAATTTATGCCTGGCAAGTAGGAAGAACTACTAATTTCATCTGTGTCACTGTCTCTATGTGGGAGGAAAAGCAGATAAAAATGGTATGTGCTGAAAACCCTTCTTATTTACAGAGCAGACTGAAACCCAGACTCTCCTAATCCAAATAGAGTGAAATACAGCTATAATATTCAGCAATAACCACGTTTCTGTAGTGTGGATGAAGGACTGGCCCATGCCATCAACCTCCAAGATGCAGGATGTAACAACAGTCTAGCTGCATCTATTGTAGCTCTCTCCATACACTTAGGAA